TGGCTTAACGCAGATTTGAAGTACCTAAGTTGTATATAATAGTAGTTAAGGGTAGGTAAGGACTTAGCAAAAGTTAAGATTTAGGAGTAAGATGGTATAGGGCGCGCCTAACTTAAGTTGTTTATATGTAAAAATGAATTCTCTATTTCAAATGAGGAACTTCACGACCTTTGCTAGGGGTAGTATTCAGACGAAGAATTTCTTTGGCAGAATTTTTTTTTTTTCAGTTGGGGGGTGAGTGTAACGTGATAATTGCCTTTCCTCGAATTTTCAGTTCCATCTTTATAATTCACATATAAAAGCATTGAGACACTGTTTCTGAAATTCTTTATTTATATAACATATTTACATGACACTAGATAATATTGATGTTCCCTTAGTTGATCAGACTTCTACGACCTGAGAATACAAGCAAATATAACAATTTGATCAAATAACAATTAGGAAGTACTCACCTGGTTTAGGATGTTCTTTCAGTCTGGGTGTGGGATTTTTGTGCTTCAGGGATTTCTTCCAAGACCTTGACTTTGATGGGTGTTTGGCCTCTGTGCATTATTTAGCTGGTATATTTCCTTTTTCTACCATATTTGATGGTCCTCATACTTATATCAGTAATTTCAATGATTATTGTTTTGTTTACTATTGTTGAGCTGTCATCGAAATATAGGAATTTCATTAGACGTTTTCATCAAGTTGATTGCCAATTGTCAAATGATGAGGGCAAGGGTACCTACACCTAACCTGCACCTGATCTACACCGAACCTGCAGCGAATAATTGGACGGTAAAGTGAATTATTGCAGCCAGGATAGTTTTACGACTTTCAGGGTACTGGCGCTAGTCATCTTTGGAAGGCGCAGACCAACGTTCCGTGTATTTGTCAAGGTCGTGTCGCATCTGTTCATTCTGGCCCTGTGGAATCCAAGTCGGAAGAAGTCGGGGATGCTCGGTTGTTTCGTAGCTGTCATTTCATTCTGCGCGAATCACAAGTCAGTATTTTAGTCACATGTAGGGCGCTTAAAGCCATCCTGTATTTCCTCTAGTGCGCAGAGTTTGCATATGAGTTGTATCCTGTTTTTTATTGTTAGTTTTTGGGATGTAAACTTCTGAAAAGGCGCAGGAGGCTATCCCTCCCAAAGTGTCGAGACGCCACTTCGACATTCATCCTCGGCAAGATGGGCATCGCCCATTATTTTGCGGTGAACCTTTCCAAAAGTGAAGCCTTTCCTGCTTGGGGTAAGTTTTTGAACATTGAAAATCTAGCGGTCAATTCCTCCTATGATATGAGGCTGGTTATTTATTTGGATCTATTCCGTTAGATCTGTGGGCCTCCTTGGTACCCCGTGTCGACCACGTGGCCATTTTAGTCTCCCAACGGAGAGATTCCATCTGGAGCAGGAGGCTATATGAGGCCTCATCAGACGTCGCAGGATCTCTCGTCGCTGCAGGCATCTCCGGCTCCATCTTCTCTGCAGGCCTTCCAGGCCATCTCAACTCTGCAGGCATCTCCGGCTCCATCTTCTCTGCAGGCCTTCCAGGCCATCTCATATCCGCAGGCATCTCCGGCTCCATCGTCTCTGCAGGCCTTCCAGGCCCTTCTGTCTCTGCAGACATCTCAGGACCCGCAGGCTTTTCGAGCGACGCTGGTTTATCAGGCTCCACTGGATCTGCAGTCTGCACTGGATTGTCAGGCTTCTCTGCCTCTTCAGTCTGCGCAGGATCTTCAGGCTGCCCTGTACCTTCAGTCTGCGCAAGATCTTCAGGCTGCCCTGTCCCTTTAGTCCTCACAGGCTTATCCGTCTGTGCTGAGTCATCAGTCTTCGCGGTGTTACCAGGCTTCGCAGTGTCATCCCTTGGAAGCTGCCTCTGGCTGGTTGGGACCTGGACCTCACCTGCTAGATTCCATCAGAAGGGGCCATCTTTCTTCTGGGGACTGGCCATTGAAGAGTCTGGCCAAACAGGCTGAGAACGCCATCAGGATGCCACCCTGCTAGTTGCCCTACTAGCACGTGGCTTGAGTAAGAAAGCCACCCAAAAATTTAAGTCAATAGTAACCATGGAATTCACCATTATTTTCGCTTGAGGATGTCTCAATGTCTAGTATTTTTCACCATTATTTTTTTATGACATTTAATAGGTTGCTTTATGCCCATTTTATGATTTAAGCATAATAATAATATGTGCATCCAGTTTATAGTACTATAAAAGGGATTTTCAGGGTTTAAAAATACACAGGTCATACCTAGTAACTTTTACTGGGAATATTTTTGAAAACTATCATATTACTTAGACAGCAATCTACCTTGTAGGTATTTGAAAACTGAATTTGATCCTCATTAAACAATATCTGAGTTCACACAGTGTTTTTTCTTCTATTTCTCTTTCAGGAAGCTAGACTAAATTTTATTATAACTTTCTTGGTTTTGTCTTTATCAAATCAAGTGGCGCCCTCTGTCACTCAATAGTCTGAATTCACTACCATTGCTCGCCAGACGAAAAGCTGCTGTGCCTTGTAAGCTCTTATGCATTTTTTCAAATTTGAACTTCACAATATTTTTCCAAATTTCACAAGTTTGCTACAAGCTCTTAATAATGTTGTAGGAGAAGTATCTTAAAAACTTTTTTACACTTCAACAGAGTCGGACGCGCAATAATATGATGAGCAAATTAAACTCTTGAAATCAGATGAAAATCATTTATTGAATCTTATAAAAGAACAAACTTCTGTCTCTGAATCTTCCTCAGATAATTTCAAAATTATTGATAAAGAAATCACCTCATTCAAACAAAAACTGTCTGAAATATCAAGTTTTATGGAAAGAGAAGAAGAATTTAAAATAAATTCAGTTCAAACTACTAACTATCTTTTTTCAGTTTCCGAAATTTTCTCAACATTCATTTCAATTACTGAAAAATATACATTGGAAATCAATAACTTCCTAGATATTATCTTATAACCGGAACGAGGTCAATTACATCCTTTGATTATTACACCTCTTAAACTTCCTGCTGAACTAGAAAAAATTCAATCACACTTGAAAAAAGATGAAACATTTCCTGTTCCGTTACATAGGAAGAATATCGATGTTTTTTACAAATTTATCGATATTACTATTTATTCTTATAAAGACAAATTGAATTTTATTCTGAGAATTCCCCTCATCACAACTCAAACCTTTGAATTGTATAAAATATCTGTTATACCTATGAGAGGTATGAAAAACTCATATACCATTCTCTTACCAGAGAAACCATTTATTAGTATAGATCAACTTGAGCATAATCATTTTTTAATTGATGGAAATACTATTGAAAAGTGTTTTAATTTTCAATCACGGTTTATATGTAGACAAAGATTTCCAATTTATGTTGTGAATGATATGTCAAATTGTGAAGCAATGTTATTTTATATGCCTAAATCCATTCCTGATTCATGTGATCGACGAGTTATTGATATTAACAATTCTATTTTCATTCAACTTGCTACGAGCAACACTTGGTTGTTCATTTGTCCGAAACCAGATATACTACATATCAATTTCAAGAAATCAAAAATATCAGTAAATATTGAGTCAATTGGGATTCTGAAACTTGAACCTGGTTCAATCGCTTACACTGAATCGATTATTTTGCACTCTGAACAAATATTCTCAAGCACCATAAGTGCTCCAGAAATTATAATTTACACTCCTGAAAATACTACGATTTTCAGTGAAATATGTGAAACTAATGTGACTGAAATATTGCCTTTTTCAAAATCTCTTATACATACAGACCAGATTCTGAACCTTGATAAATATAGTCAAAAAGTTAGAAAAGTGAGGGAGGACATATCTAAAACTCGTTTATCAGATGATAATTCCTTTTATTCAATTTCAGTTCACCATATTACTATGTATATTGTATTATGTACAGTGTTTTTATTTCTTATATTGTATAATTCCTATGAACATAAGTATTCAAAATTGATTTTTAGCAATAAGAGTAATGCCACCCCAGAAAATGAAGCCGAATCTATTGAATTGCAAATTTCTAAAAATAAAAAAAACATGTCAAGTGAAATTAAATTGCAACTTTTTTGGAAGTTAAAATTTTTTTTTAAGGGGGAAGTGTTGTGAACTGCTATGCTGTTTCACCCATGATAGTATATTCGCCTTGTATATGAATATTATAATATTATAACTCAGTTGTTCTATTTAACATTGTCTACACACTATTGCAACATTTGCTTATTTTACAGTTTTAATGTAACAACGACCTGTTGCAGGAAACCATGTTGCTATTTGTTTCTATATTTATTTTATATATTTCTCTTTTTGTCTATTGATGGCGTGATGCACTATGACTGTCACGTGACTTGAATGTTCTTTAAATAAACTTTACGAAGCCACGCGCAGGCAGTTGCAGTTAGATATTTATTCTAAATTTTACCTTTTGTCAACTCAACCAATGTACTAATTCCGCCAATGAAATCACCAATGATTAAATCTCTAATTCACACAAGGTGGATCGGAGGTGGAAGAGTAAACCGCATCATAATATCGGTACTGTAAAAGTGTTTGAAATTTTATCGAAATATAGTATTAAAATTTGATTCGAGTTGCAAAAGTGAATGTTCAGTGGCTTCAGCATACATACGAGTGTTATCCTAGCATAATTCACTGCTGCAATCGATGTTTAGATGAGGAGATTCCACAACAACTGGCGAATCATGTCAGAAAAAAACCAGTAAGTGAAGGCTGGAAACTATTTCACCAAAGGTCAATTCGAATCGTATATAATAACTCAGACTAGGAAACTGAAATGGAAGATAAAAATACAAATAAATTCAAATGCTGCAATAAGAAATTCCTCAATTACATTTGTAGAGTTTGCCAAAATGTTTTTCATCCAAGTTGTATAACGGAAAGAAACAAAAATTTCAAAATAATAGATGGCCAAAAAATATGCTGCTCAAAAATTTGCGAACAAAAGGACAAGGACGAAATTTACAGAAATGACATGCTCCTAGAAAAATTAGCGGAGGCTACGAAATCAAACAATTCAAAAGATCATTTGTTGAAGAAACTTGAAATAGAAATGGAAGATAAAGTGAAAGGGCTAGAATCAGAAATATCACGTCTAAACAAAGAAATTGAAGAGAAGGATTCCTTCTACGCAAAAGAAAAAAGGAGATCACAAAACTTTTTTGATGAGGTTGTCGAAACCGAAATCAAGTTCGAAGAAAAACTCAATGAACAGAAGAGTATTATAGCTGAATTGGAAAAAGAGATTATCAACATAGGAGAGCGAAATAATCTTCTCTTAATAGAAATTTAATCGAAAGATCAGGAAAAAGAGAAGTTTGCAGTTGAAGCCCAGGAACTAATGGCACTGAATAGAAATATGGTAACTACAATCAGGACGGTTGAAAATGAAAATGTGTTGTTCCAGAGTGAGTTGGAGAAATTGAAACAGGCTGTTTCAAGTGGAAAGTTGGAGAGAGTACAACAGGGTGTACCAAGTGGTAAGAATCAAGCTAATCCAGAATCACCATAAGCATCGAAATACAAAAGTGACAGACAGGTCGGATCCAAGGAGTGTAAGAAATTTCTCAAAAATAAACTCATGGTACTCTCTGATCAACAAGGTCGGAATTTCAATAATATATTTCAATCCATAACAAACCAATTTTCAGTTGAAAGTTTCATAAAATCAGGAGCACTTTTTCCCTCTGTAATAGAAAATATGCAAGAATTAACATCAACTTATAGCCCTAATGACTTTGTCATTGTGATTGCTGGACTGAACGATTTCAGAAATGGAAAAGTTCCGCCACTGAAGAATATAGTAGACAAACTAAGTAAATGTTTCCACACCAATATTGTCGTTCTCTCAGTACCTTTTGGAAAATTCGATGAATGGACTGAAAATGTAATTTATGAATTCAACTTAAAGCTAAAAAAACACCTCGACCAGTTCAAACACATTTTTTTTATGGAAACAAATATCAATATTTCTTGGATCAGCAAAAAACACTTAGCTAGAAATATAATAACAAATATCTTGAGTAATAGTCATGCAAATAAAACCAAAAAACTTGAAATGAAGGCGAACTCATCCACTCCACGATTTAATAACTCGCAAACAACAAAAACCACTATCACGAAAGATTTTTTATTCCCAGTCCACAATCGAACAAGCCAAACCTAAATAATTTTGATCTATCAATACTGCTGTTGAACATTCAGTCTCTTAGACATGAAGCAGATAAATTATTCATATTCTTGGAACAAGTAAATTATCCCGACATTGTCCTTCTAACTGAACACTGGCTAAGTGCTAATGAATTGTTTTATATACCGAATTATGAAATGCTATCTCTTTACTGTAGATCCAACTCAATACATGGCGGTACTCTGATACTTGCAGAATCAACCTTTCTTGAAAACAACTCATTCGAGACAATCGATAAATTTGATGAACAAATATCTGAAAAGTGTTCTGAATTGTCGATGGTGTTTTCCAAAAAACTAAATCTATACATTATGTGTGTTCATCGTTCACCCTCTTCTTGTGTGACAGCATTCTTAAGTAGGCTCGAAACAATTATATGAGATTCACCAAATCGCTCAAAAATCATTCTTACAGGAGACTTCAATATGTATTTCAGTGATAATAAAAATATTTATACACTAATACTAAAAAATCTTATTGACTCGTTTAATATATGTATGCATGTTGACGGTCCTACCAGGTTCTCTCAAATTTCATCTTTAACTATAGACTATATTTGTTCAAATCTCGACATTCTATCATGCTCCGTAATAAATGCTGGTCTATCTGACCACGAGGCTGTATTAGGCAAATTCTCCATACATTCAAAGCCAAGCAATCCCCATTCAAAGCGTGGTAGGATCTACAACAAGGGCAGCTATGGTAAGTTCCATCAACTATGTTCCGACATAGACTGGTCGTCTATTCCTTCAGCTAGTGATCAAATTCACGCGTTTCACGAACTATTAGTTACCAAATTTGATACAGCTTTCCCTGTCAAGATTATTAAACCCAAACGAAAGAAACCATGGATAACCAAAGGACTAAAATCCTCCTCTGAAAACCTTCGTTCGCTGCACATGATCAGAAAGTTCACAAATAATGTACATTTCCAACAATACTTTCGGGAATATAGAAAATTGTACAGAAAACTAATTGAAATATTAAAACAAAATTATTACAGTGATAGACCAACGGCCACAAATAACAAGCAGAAGGAGTGTTGGAATATCATGAATGAAATTCGTCAAACAAATCGAAAGAGTCCAGTTGACCTCTGCGATTACCTTTCTCCCAATCAATTCAATAATTACTATTGTCACGGATGGGACCACTCAGTATATCAGAGTCAATACACCTTTAGATCCAGGTCATTTCAAATAATCAAACAATTAAATTTTAATTCACTTCAAATGAATCGATGGCGTCGACAAAAATCGAACGGTTTGGCAAAACATTAAAATGATCGTTGAACTCAGGAGTTTCACGACCTGGCACCAATTTAGGTAGTTTTGAGAAGTTTTAGCAAACATAGCAAATCGTTCGCAAATAAATACGGACCACACAATGGCCGGCATGATGATTATTATTGGTGATTCCGAATTCGGTCGACATTCAGCCTAGATGCATTCAAAATTCAGTCTAGATGTGATTCAGAAGTCGGTCGAAATTTAGCCCAGATTCTTCGAAATTCATTCGAAATTCAGTCGAGATTCATTCCAAATCCAGCTTAGAAAAAAAGTTTAAATTCAAAATTGAGTGATTGAGTGCAGTTGGTGTCGAGATTAACGAGATGGCCCATCCAGGACACATCATCCCCCCGGCGAGAGTATTGGCAGTACTGGTAGCAATGTAAGTACCTCGATCATTTGTTTCCAATATTAGTTGGCCCCATAGTTAGGGAAAATAGGGATCAGTACTCACTTTGAACGCTGTTAATCTCGTGCTAGGCCCTTCCGGCAACTTTAAGTAATCCAGGGATGAGGTTAGGTAATGTACTAATGAAGAGGCGTGTCACACGTTACCCTGGTAGGGACTAATGTTAGTAATGTTGAAGCACTTGATTTTTACACTGTGTTTTTGCTCATGACGGATCTTTTTTTTGATGTTTCTCCAAACTTGACTTACTTTACTTTAACCACATTTGTTTGATTTGCTGATTCCTTTTACACGTACACTCGTTTTGATTTGTTCCACTTTAAACACATATAACTTTTTTCTTTATTCAATCAAATTGTATTTTTTCTTTATTCACACTCTCGTCATTTCTTTGCTGCAACTCCTCTTTGGTCAGATCACCTCTTGCATTGCCACTACGACCCCCAAATGATCTAAACCTCACAGCTCGGCATATCCCACAAGGGAACGTAGCTAGAGGTGTAGCCCATCACGGGGAAGTCAGCAGCCCCAGAAGTTGGAGGCCGCAACCTACTCCGTGACATATGGTGGAGGCGCCTTGTCTCGAGTCCCCCAGGTTTCATTCTTCATAATGGACTTGATGATAAGTCGGTAGGTAATTCAGCAATAGGCCAACTGTAGTTTCTCATATTTTATTTTTTTTATCTTTCTTCTCAGTTTTTTGAACAATATAAAGAAATTGTATTATCAAATGCTTAGGGAATATAGGTGATATAAAAAACAAGAATAGGATAAAGCGTGCTTGTGCTGTCAATGACGGGTTACCTATTCAACTCCCTGCTGTTTTTTCGTACCTTCTTTTTTATATACGGGTGGTGTAAAAAGAGAGGAGAAATATGTGCTTGTGCGGTATATGACGGGTTGTCTATTCAACTCACAAAATAGAGTTAATATACAACAAATGTCAGAACTCATCATCAGGCTGATTTTTCGTCTACTTTGAGCATCAACCACGCCTATTGATGTCAAAAGAGTACCTGTCTGATAAACGGCTGGCTCACTATTCAACCCCTGAGTATGAGTTGATAGTTAGCAGGTGCCTGTGCTGATATAGGGCTGGCTTGTCACTTCATTTTATCTTGTTCTTCTTTCTTTTGCATCTGAACAATAGTAGGCGAATGTTAGCTAAAAGATACAAAGCATCTATAGCAAATGAACAGGCACAAAAATACCCCCCTATGGTAAAAAATTTAGTGGTAAAAATACCATTAACGTTACTTATTGAGAGTACGAGAAAATATCTGACTTTTGAGGAGAGAATGCAGATAAAATTCAGTGAACTTTTTGGAGAGGAATAATGAGTATGAAGTTTTGATAATTTTTCCAATTCTTTGTTGTTGTTGTTCAATCACCCCTGGATAAAAGAATATGGTATATACAGACTTCATTATTCCAAATTTTTTGGGATTTTCTCTCTTCGTTTCTATAAAATAAAAATATGAATATTATTTCAATATACGTGTAGTAAGGACAAATCAGATGATTTGCCCCAAAATGTCACTGCGTTTGAAGAATTTTCCTATCAGAGAGCCTAAAAGAAAAATTCACTAGCTTGTCAGTGACAATTTGTATTGAAAAAATTTTTGGAGAAGGGAAATAAAGGTATATAGAAAAAATATCAAATTTTCACTTATCTTTGGACGTTTCGGGACCGGTTCTGCTCCCGTTTTCAACATGAGAAGAGATTATTTCAATAGCGAAGTCGTATAATGTCTTGAAGCTTTTCAGTTTTCAATGACAATTGGTGACGTTGGCAATCAAATGAGTTACAGGATGTTTTCATTAATTGATCTTGAATTTACCATTTTCATGTTCAGATTTTAGTAGTGAATACCATGTTCTGTCTATATCAACTGAACAAGAAGCAATGTTATTGTCTCTGTTCAGAAGAATGCAAGCAGATTCCTTGCTTTTTCTCTTCTGGTTGTTATCTTCTTTTCCAATAATTTTAATATCATTCCACTCTGCCATATGTTGTTCGTCTTCAGTAAGGATATGTTCAGCTAGTTTCGATTTATCGATGTTTCTTTTCTTTATATTGTACTTATGTTCCTTCGTCCTTACTGAAAGAGGTCTCTTGGTTTCACCTGTATAAAACTTTCCACAAACACAAATTATACTGTAAATACAATTTTTGGATGATTGTTCTTCATTTTTCAGCTTTGTTTGAGTTAGAATTGATCTCATTGTATTTTCAGTTTTGAACACAGTTTTCACTTGAAATTTATCACCAACACGTTTTATTTTTTCAGATATGCCGGGAATGTATGATATTATATTTGTCGTTATTGATTGTTGATTTTGTTGTGGTTGACCCTGTTTGTTTTCAATTCGATGAATCGTCCTATCGACAAAATTCTTTGGAT